ATTTCAATTAAATTATACGCTACAGCCAACTGACATGCATACTACAGGCCTTTGTTTTGCAATCAAAATTAAAATATCCATGATCATGATGATGATAACATCTGCTATGTTTACACGTTTGACACATCTTCGTCCCGAGACAAAAGACACAATTGCAGTATCATATTTGTAAACAAATTATATCTCGGCCACTGGTCAGTCATTACAAAAATCGCAGTGGCATCATTACCGAACCTCTGGTTCCCTGACCTGACAATATTCAACATCATGATCTTTGGCTCTTGGAACCAGACAAGTATCAACCGAATGGCTCTCGGACTTTATTTTCCCTTAAAAAAATAAGGAAAAAACGATTCAATAAAAGTAGGATTTGATTAAAAACACGACAGTAAAGAAGGAAAGATTGTAGTATCCAGACGCCACTTCTGTGGTTGTGTACAAAGTCTATGGAGAGTTGAGATTATTTTCAGTAAGTTTTTTCTAACAAATTTGGAAATGTTTCTTACTTGTTAGTCCCAAATTCGTGTCTTTTCAATATTTTTGCAATGACTGACCTTCATTGAGATAATATATGAAGAAAAAGGATGCAACATTCGTTCCACAAATAAACATTAACAGCGCAAATAAGGGTATTTTCCAGAACTCGCATATTTTTTTTCACGTTTCAGATGCAGTGCAAATCCATACAGTAAACATTGTAATGTTGCAATCGTTCTGCCGCACAGCGCTAGGTACAAAATAACAACCGGAAGAAAATGAACGATGAATTTTACCTTGTGTTTTATCTGCTTGGAAGTGGACACCCGCCTGTGGAAAGCCTTGGATGGCTCGATCTCTCCTTCACTGTCGCTGGAATCTTCCAAAGAAGTGCTCTTCACCGTGGTTTTGGTCCTGCGCCCGGGCGAAACGGAGGGAGACACCGGGCCCGTCGTGTCCAAAGACGCCATGATTATCGCAGTATACGCTTCGTACCGTACGTATTTTGACGTGTAGTGCATGCGATGCTATGTTGAATGCACGTAGGTTGCACTATGTGTGTGTTCACCATGTGCTCGACGTTTTAATTTTAGCAGAAATTTGGCACACGCGCGTACCCGTATGGGGGCGTGCTTTCCTTCGCCCACCACGTGTCCACTCTAAAATTCATCCAATCCTGTTCGTTCCTCTATTTTTTTCCCCGAAGATTTTGACCTCCTCTTTTTCACTTGAAAGTTTTACTGAGTTACTATCAAACGGTACAATTCGGTAGCTAGTTTCATTGATGGACAAACTAAATATTTATTTATTGAGATAATTTTGGGAGCTGAGGTTGAATTTCATCCGAGTAGGGGCGAGTAAAAATTATAATCAATCATTTTGGGTCTTTATGTTAACAAGAAACCCACACCGGCCTTGAACAACATAATTAGACATCCTTTTATTATTTTTTTTCCAGGAATAACAATTAGGCCTTTCGTCGTTTTTCCCCCTCTAAGTTCATTAAATGACTCACAATCCGGGACTGGCAATACGTGGGTCATTAATTTGTTCTTCTTCTTCTTCATCCATTCATTTCATGATGACTTGATGAGTTGGGCCCAAGTCCCTGTCGAGCATAGTGTTGGAAAGAGATGGACCACTCAGACCAGTTTCTCGATGGATGTCATTAATTTGAAGGGATTAATTTTGCAGGTCATTTGTGGAAAATAAAAATAACATGCGTGCCCGGCTAGCTGTTCAACAGTGTTAACAAAATTAAATTGTATTCATTTTGTGTGTGCTCATACCATGGTGGAATTATTCTAGTGGTTGTCGATGTCGAACCTTCGCCTAAAATGAAGTAAATCGATTCTGTTATTAAAATCCTGGACCATTATTGACAGATATTTTGTAAAATTCTTTATTTCCTTCCCTTTTCTTACTTTTTTAAAAATCATTATCATACACTACAGCATATTGTTACATTAATTTCCAACACGTTCACTCGGCGCGTCTGCAACCGCACATCAAGCAAAATGCTCAACTCTGGTAATTTCGTGGATTTTTTTTCACACAATAATTTATTGCCACATTCGGACTGTAATTCTGATGATGTCAAACCTTTGTCTGCTGATGATAAGCAATAAATCAACAAACCAGTCCTTTTTTTCTAGAAATTACATTTTTTACAAAACCGGGCAGATTTTTTTTTCATCCTGTCCCCTACTCCACCAAATCCACGACTCGGGGTTAAATTTCACGATATTGGATAATTGAACGACGCCGGTCGCCATGGCAACGCAAAAACCCGCGCTTTAAGAAGAGAAATAAACGGAGTGACGTCATTCATGTACACCTGGGAGGCCAGTCGGCGGATGTTAAGAACCATTAAATAATTTAATAAACAGACAGGGTTGATTAGGCTGGAAAAGAGGGCCTTGTACTGCAGTAGATTATGTCACCCAAACCCCGCCCTCTTTAAAAAAAAAAAAAAAATGGGGGAAGGGGGGGGGGGGGGGATAGTGGCCATGCCTTTTTCGGGTGGAAGGGAGGGGGGCCGGGGGGGGGAGGTTACGTTTGAACAAAATGTTCTGTGGCCTGTGGCGATTTGTATAAAAAGCAAAACAAGAAATTATACAATATGCAAGATTTGTGTTATATTAAAAAAAAATATTGAGGAATATATATTTAAAATATTAATTTCCGCTAACTTCTCAATTGGATTTCTCGTTTCATAAAACCGCCCGTAAATCAATATTTTGTTATTAATATTTTCTTGCCAATTAATTCGTAAAAAAATTCAATGTCATACTTCATCATCTATTCGATAAGTCAGTGACTATTTCATATCATCGAGTTGTCTTCTCTTTTGTGGCGGACGGTGGATCAAAGAAGTCGAGAACAGTTAAAAATTGATGATGCCCAGAAGGCGAAGAGCTATATGAAATTGTTTTTTTTTCTCTAGAGATTGACCTCGCATGCAATACCTTTAAATTATTTTTGTGTGTGATGATTTGGAGGAATATGAATACTGAAGCAATGTGTATATTATATGGTCTTTCGGAACATGGCACTCAATTTTTTAATTACCTATTTTATATTTTAAAAGAAAACAAAAATCGGACCGCAATAAGTTCATATTACAAACTGGGATAAAACAATATTGTGAATTACAAACAGATTCCTTCCTGACAAACATTGTCAACAGGAAGAAGTTAGGCCTAATTAATAACGAAACATCGCAACAGAGCTCGGACAATAGACCTTTTGTCGGTCTAGAAGGGGAGTCAACAAGGAATATAAGGGTTTAAATCCTCCGAAATACTTACGCTAATACTACACGGAATTTACAGTTGAAGCAAAAACCCCAACCTTTTATGATGTTTTTCTTTTATTTTTATTACTCATATTGACACCTGTCCAAATAAATAATGTAACACCCGTTTAGCGTCTGCGGGTAATGCGGAGTAGATGAGATCATTAGTGTGTGGATATCGCAGGAACATAGGGACGGTCGGGTAATCTGCAGGTGACTAATACCCGACGGGAATGTCCAGAAAATACTAGAAAAAGGAAAACAGTTGCCAGGAGACGAGTTAGAATTAGAACCCAATAAACTGCATTTTAACCCGAAAGGGACCGGGGGGGGGGGGGGGCGAAATCCGCCCCCCTCAACTTTTTCCGCGATAGCAATAAAAAAATGGTCACGACCCGAGCTGTTATGACTTTTTAGCCTCGAGTCTTGCGCATCTTTTGATACCAAAAACATAAAATTCGGACCAGGGGTTGCCGCACAGCGAAAAATTTTCCGGCGCTAACTTAATTTTCATTTATGTACTACGCGCAAAGATAAGATTGATAGCTGGGTTCGTTTGGAAGTAGGGGCCGGATTGGTGGTAGGGTGTGGGGGAGGGGGTGCGCATGCACTTGAACCGGCGGTTGATGCTGTTGCTTCTTGATGATGATGATGACGGCACTTAACAAAATAACAAGCAGAGATTGTGAGAAATGACTGCAGCCTCAGCAGATATAACCTTGTAGGGGAATTTTACTCAATCTTTATTTGACAGTAATGGACAAGGGCATTTTAACAAATGACAATCATAGTTAGCAATGGTTTCAAAAAGGATGTGACCACTAGACATCAAGTGCTTTCCAACGACATGGTACAACCATTATCATTTTGAATGAAGTAATTTTTATAATGGTGGCTTAGTTAACTACAAACTAAAGAACTTATCACGAAGATTGACCACCCCTTTTAGCTAATGGAAACTTCTAAACTTTGGACCAATCAGAACTACTCGATTACCTAACTTGCGTCTCCGATAGATTCCTACTGTAATTGATGCTATTAAGAAAAACAAAATCTTCAAGGGTCTCTTGGTATCTTAATGAATACTAAAACTCCACCAAAAAAACACACACAAATCTATGTTATCTTACTTGTCAAATTAAACTTTATGGTTATTAAAACCTAGCACCAATCGCTAATATTATAAATTTTAAAGGATAAAGTTCATCTGTGAAGTCCTAAAGAAGGCAAGGTGGGTTTGGGTTGGGAGTTTGGGTTTGCAAAATCCAGGGAAGTGCTGAATGCGATAACAACAGTGAAGAATACTTTGTCAAATTGAATAACTGAAGCTAATTCTGGCAACTACAAGGGGAAATGTAATGGATCTGCTGAGACAAGACATTTGCTAAGCACAAAAATAGATTTGCTTAGCAGAAACCAGTCACCAGCCAAAACGTCATGCGATGTAGAACGCCATGGTCCAGTGGTTACGGCGTTTGACTCTTGTACGAAGGTGCGTGAGTTTGAACCCTGCCAGGAACATGGTGTTTGTGCCCTTGGGCAAGACACTTAACTACAATTGCCTCTCTCCACCCAGGAGTATAAATGGGTACCTGTGAGGGTAGAGGACCGAATGTGCGCTGATATCGGCTGCCGCGTGGTCTCGTGGCCTGATGAACGGGGTAATAATTGTAAAGCGCTTTGAGATTGTTGATACGATGGAAAGCGCTATATAAGCACAATTATTAAATTATTATATATGCTTACACTGGTCCCCAACTGATTTTTTCAGGGTTCACGCACCTTTAGGACACTAAAATATCATGACTTTTCCACGACCAAATTAGGAAAATCCATGACCTAGTTCATCAAAATGCAGATCACAACTGTAAACATTCTTAATGGGGATATCACAGGGCAACAAAAAATAAAATCAAAACGCTTAAGTATCGGTGAAATTTGTCGCATTTTGTCAGTTATAAAAATCAGATTTCCGATGCTAAATTATGAATATACAAAGTTTAAAATTTAACATAAATTGGCCCTCACAAAATTCCATGACTTTTCTACGAATTTGGCATTTTTACAAATTTCATAAACATAAAGTTAATTAGCAATATTCTCTGCACAGCAGCTTCGAAAAATTGATCTGCAAAATTTTCCTGATGGTATTTGTTATTTTCTCCCAACCCAACTTATCACCTCCTTATAAAGGCACCCTTGCATCTACAGCTCCAAGTGGGCCGGCTCCTTAGTCAGATGAAAGGAGAAAGCAATCTCAGACTCATACTTGGTGTCATACATGCCGGTCAGCGGAGCAATGTTTCCTGTGTAGGTCTTACACTGCACCTTAATCTCTTCCTCACGGGCCGCAAGGTCAAACCGTACAGCAATGTACGGTTTGATGTAGCCGGCCCGTTTGCTGACGTTGGTATTGCCCGGGAAGGGGAAGTAGTGGTTGGGGATTCCGTAGTAGGGATAGATGCGGGTGTCTGGGCCGAGCTGCTCGGGCTTCTTGTTTTTCTGCGAGAGCAATTGAGAATCAAAGCATCACAATGATTCTCAAGATTCAAATGAAGATTAATGTTTGAAACAGAAGCGACTATGTGACAAACTTGTCCAAAGATGGACTCTTGCAGTTAGTCAGAACAACTCCTTAGTCTAGGCAACGGGAGATCAATACTTATAGGCATATAGGATCATTTGCTTTTCATGCATTTTGCTCGTTTCCAATAATAAAACCACTCAAAATCCAAAAAAGAGTGTTCAAAACCTAACCTGTTGAAGGTTAAGCTCAGTGGATATCACACTTTCGAGAAAACAGTGAATAACCATGCACAACGATTTTTGTCAATTTTTTTTTCTCCAAAAATAAGTCAATTCATAAGATGGAATTTGCATCAGGATGAGTTTAATATTGGTTTTTGCCCTTCACAACATGCATTATGAAGCACTGTGGAAATAAGTCAACTGTGGAATATATAAGTCAATTCGTTGCGTTTTTTCCACACCAGCGAACAGGTATACAATTGTGTATACCTGTTTGCTGGTATGGAAAGGCGTGGTGCTACCTGTTCGCAAGTATGTAAAAAAAATGCGACAAATTGACTAATCTTTGTAAATCGTTCACCTACATTTATTGATTCTTCTAAATGACAGCAAGCTAGATGGAATGATTTCACGGGGTGTTTAGCACCAGGACGTTTGATCCAAAGAAGCTTTTGATAATAATTTGGTGCGTTACTTTTTGGATAAATCCTATATGCCTCTATTGTTCACCTGTCTGGAACAAAAATCTGTTTGGTTAACCCGAGTTGCTCCTACTACTCTACGGTTTGGTGAACATCTCAAGAGTCTATAAGAGGTGCTACTCACGTAGGATCCACACTTGATGGCAATGTTGCCAGGCTTGTAGGAATCAGCAACCTCCTCAGGTATCTCGCCTGCCTCATAATCCTCAGGAGCCCAGTCTACAACCTAGAATGAGAGAGAATAGACCTTCAACATGCTGCCACCATTTCAGTCATGTTCCCTGTACCCAATAACATTACTGAATGATAATGTTTTTGTGTGCAAAAAGGAACCAGACTATTTTTCCTTCCAGCCTCGCTTTGGTTACGTTGATTTGAATGGAAAAAAAATCAAGATGGCTGCAACATGATAATGGTCTATGGTTGGAGGAGAAGGGGCAGGTGTTTAGTAGGCATAGATATGGCCCAAAACATTCGGGGAGCTAAACACATTGATGACAGAATTCTGTTGTTTGTAGAGCTATGAAATGAGACCTAGATGGGGCGGAGAGTGGAGTTTCACCTCCCATCATTATATACTGACTGGATAGCACATGCCTATTACTGTGCACAAAGAACTGAAGCCACTATAAGTAATTTTTAAGACCTCCCAATATGGAGGTTACTGATATGCACTTGTATGCCTTATGGCCTTCCAAGATGGCATACAAGTGGCTTCAGCCTACAGTCTTCATGCACTATAAACTCATGTAGTATCTATATTATTCACTTCATGTCTGGCATCAGCACGAGGAGATTTTGGGCGCCTGTTCAATATGGGTCCATATTCTGGTTTGGGAACTACCAATCTTTGGAAGCCAAAATTTGGAGGGTTTCAATTTTGGTTGAATGCTAACGTTTCTAAATGATTCTTAAGCAGGGATACAGCCAATGCTGAAGACAAAGCAAACGCCTTGAAAACCTCTTTCTCTTAAGGCCAACATTTTTGTAAGTCTTACCCTGTTCAGAGCGATAAACACGCAAGGTTTCCGTTGGTTGTAACCAAAGTCTGGCGGTATGCAGAATTCCCCCAGGGTAGTACGATCGAATTGACAGAAGGAGCCCTCTGGGGGCGCTGTTTCATTCGTGCAGTCCACATATCCCTCCGTCTGATTGGCTGGGTCCAGAGCTGTAAAGAAAGTCAGTAAATTTTTGGGGGCAAAAACAGAATGGTTGATCAGCAAATGTGGCTTACAAAACACGGAGGCTTGGTTCCATGACTTACAAAAAAAATTGCCAGTAAACAATAATGGATAGAGGGCCCAACGGACTTGATAGAGGGCCCAAGAAATAAATTTTAAGTCCACAGTATTTGTGCAGATACCTAGATTTCCCCACAATAAGAAGTTCAGCAAGTTGACCCCTATTGTGGTTCTTGTACTTGGGAAGAGATTTTTTGAACTTTGGGGAACTTCTATCACCATGCCAAATTTCATTGAGCTGCTATGGGCAGATAATATGACTGAGCAAATATTATGGCTCTACTGAGAATCAGTCACAAGGCAGGCTGCGGTCTGAATGACTTGGCTACGGCTGGGAATAGTACACAGGTCTATGTGAAGTGGCTGCAGCCGCTGCCATAGACGCATGTGTCATTGCTAGCCGTAGCCATGTCATTCAGACATGGCTTATAAACACTACTTCATAATGGGCTGGTAGTCTATTTTTGTTAGTAGCTATAAGCCACTATTGTCTCTGCCTGGCAAAGAATGCGTGTATTTATTGAAATTGGTCTTTTGAAGATTGTTCTAACTTACAATCCCAGATCGCCTGTAGTTCGTCGACGTATTTGGCGTAGTCATTGTCGTTGGCTGCCGAGTATTTGATGAGACTATCCTCAGAGATTGGGGTCACACTCAAGCCTTAAGAGAGAGAAAAAAAACAATCATATCACTTAAAACTTCATGTTTGTAAAGCTGTGGTCAAGTCACTCAATTCACAAGCTATGTAAATGAATTATTTTTTTTTTTATCCAACGATGGTTGGCCAACCATCGTTGGAAATTGATACAAAAATGCCACTTTTCTTGAAAATGACAGCATACAGATGCCATGATTTCACAGGATGCTTGAGACTATTATTCACTTACAAGTAAGTACATGTATTTCGTAATAATTTGGTATTTTTTTTATGTTTGCAAACGTTGTACACTACCTTTAAAGTATCTTTGAACAGAATTGCCACATTGAACAAAATGGCTTTAATTCTTGAAAGTAACACTTCTTACCTGCTGCAGTAAATGAAAAACAGCAATAAAGCCAAGGAATTAACTTCCAACTCAATTTTTGCAGCAAATCAGTGCTTGTGTCACACTGGATCCGAAATAAAAGGAAAAATTGTAGACTCACCAGGCCGGCCAACGTAGGAGTTATATGATGGATGGTCCGGGCTGACGGTTTGTAGGAAAATGAAGAGCATAAGACCCCAGAAGCCAGCTAGGAAGATGTAGTAGATCAGGTAGAATAGGCCGATCTCAGCTGAGGGCAAAACAAGACATGAAGAAATGTCATGAGACAGTTCAATTACAAGACCATTGCAATCACATGCGAGGTCACAGTCACATGTAACAGTGGATAAACAATAACAAAGGAATGCCTTGTGACAGGACTTGGGACTGGAGGACTTGTGATGCACTTGTGAAGACTTCTACAAATCATGAGAAATACTTCTTCAAGCTTGAACTTCCACCACAATGTTAAACAGTTTGATCATTGATGACTTCTTAACCCTTTCGGGTCTGTGTCCTGGGTTGTTCTGGGCAACGTTTCACAAGTTCAACAAATTTCACGCTGTGGACATCCTGGACCATGTGGAATTGTACTGGTCAAAACCACAACTTGTGTATGGTACAGAAATATTATGGATTATGATTTGTATACCACACTCCTTTGTGTACCTGCTACGGATAAAGTCATACATTTAGAAACAATGTAAATATACTATTATTACGGGTTAGCATTTGAAATATCTCTTCACAGGAGTGCAATTCCATAAAATCCAGCTCTTGTTGTACTCTGACCACAAGATTTTACAAGGTCGTAAAGGTGGTAGAACATTTTGTTTGGCCTGCAATGTGTTCTCTTCATTAGATGTCACATATTAGTAATATATGACATTCATACTACCAACAGAAGCTCATTAAACTGTCTGAGGTGTACGTCCAAATTTACGGAATTGGCCAAGTACAAAAATACAAGTACAAAACTTCAATGCATGCAATATGTGTAGGGGCAACAATCACTTTTTATTAATCTCCAGCACACAAATCTTAAAATGGTCGTGTATAATGTCACAAATACATGTATTCACTCCTTAAGTTTTAATCTGAATACAAATGACACTGACTAATATAACACAGGTTGAAAACAGGGAATTTCTTTTTTAAGAAGTTTGAAATTTTTCCACAAGTGAAGTACTTTATGCTGGGATGAGTACTGATAATCGGTCTAGTACTGTAAGGAGAATACATTCTATAACCAACAACAAGATATTAATTTTAATAATTATTTTAAAACTTCCTATTACTTTTTGATGTTCAAAGAAGAAAAACATGAAATTAAAAAAATATTCCTGCTAGTACTCATTTTGTTACCCATGTGATATTTAAGTAGGATTTGTTACGGTTTGTAGTACTGAAGCCAACCTATTTTGAAGTATGGTCCACGCTAGTTCAGTGTAATTTCCTGTGTCGTAATTTCTGCCCCATGTTTTTTCTTAAATTAAAAATGCCTAGTAAAATACAATTGTTCTACTTAATTAGGAACACTTGTTAAACTTGGAGAATCTACACAACATCAGAATACCAATTGATTGGAGAATACATACATTGTGAATCTTGTGTATAGTGTGGGTGTAGCAGGTTTCACTTCCGTGCAATACATCTTTGGTTCAATCAGAGTTCAGAAATCAAGTCACAAACTATTTTTAACGATTTAATTTCTCTAAGACTGGCCTGCAATGTCGGGAAAAATCATGATTTGTTGTCTTTAACTCGCACGTAAATTTTATGTATTTCCATTTATTCCTTTCAACCCTTGTTTTATAGGTAGTGTGCAAGAACACTTTGAAGTTGTTTTCCCAAATCATTATAAACCACACAGACTAGCGACTTATGTTGGACGCTTTCCTTTTTTTTTTGGTGGCCTTGTAATGATTTGGTTAACATCTTTTACCCATCTGTTATTGCAATGTTCCCTGATGTTAAGTGTAAAAATATAATTTGAGGCATCATCGCAAGCAGGCTTTGCTTTATGAAACTGAATATGAAATGTTGAAACACAAACATTATCCCAAAACCTTCACAGAGTCGCGATAGGTCTCCACATAATTAAAAACAAGTAAGATAATAGATACTCCAATAGGCAATCAGTGTTACAAATGAATACTCTGAATACACTAATTCATTGAAGGAGAGGAGTGGTTCATTTGGAACAAAACTGGATCTAGCCGGTTCCGACTGGATCAAACTGGCTCTTTCCCACTTCTGCACCGAAAAGCTGCAATCAATGCTATGAATGAGTATTCCAAATACACTAGCTCATTGGTGGGGAGGAGTGGTTCATTTGGAACAAAACTGGATCTAGCCGGTTCCAACTGGATCAAACAGGTTCCAGCCACAACTGGTTCCAGGTAGATGTGCAAGTCAGCTAACCAGTCAGTTCCAGCAAACACCGCATAGAACCAGTTGCCTCTAGCAGCATTTAAGTCACGTCACTACAATCTAAAATGTTACACTGGAATTAATAATTACTTTACTTAATATAAAAATCACAAATCTAACTCCCAATAACGACACAAATTGTACACAACTTTACATCTTCAAAATAATCACAGCCTAAATTACTTCTTTCCAAATCTTATTACGTACAGTAGTATGACAACTCGGGGGTTGAATACAAAGTGAATATCTCGAGTAAAGAAAGGAGGGTTTGATTAATGAATCTAACGTCGAATTTCTAATTCAAACTTATCTTTTTGAAAGCTTAATTGTCACTTTTATGAGGTAAAACTGAGGTATAACAGAGGAATATAGGGATACACTGATTCATTTAATGTATACATGCATGCATCAGGATAACATTATTTCAAATGGAATTGGTCACTTTTTGTTAACCCTGACCCCTAAGGATTCCTCAGGACTACCCTACAAAATCCAACAGAGTCCAACGGTACACTCCAACAGAATCAAACTGTGCCTAATTTTCAGTTGTCTGCTAGATATAGATCCAATCTAAGTTGGCATCATTTACCAGGACCCAACAGAATCCGAGTCTGAATATGTACGTGTACGATTGTACAAGGGGTTTACTGCTCAATCCAACAGACTCCAACAGGTTTGTGATATAGTTGGATCCTGTTGGATTCAGCAGGGTATATTTTATATGGGATGAGAACTCACAATCCAACTCCTTCACCGAACCAATGTACATGGATGGTTTTTTCTGTACAGGTAGCCTTTTGTACACGCTTTCAAGCTTAAAAACGAACGTCAAATTGACATAACCAGGGGAATACATGTACATCATACATTTTGAGGGAAAACTCAAAAAAGCTGAAAACATAACTTGTGATTATTATATTCGTCAAACATTTGAGTGCAATAAACTATTTTGATGGTGCCTGATCAATTCATTCTAAAGTCATTCCACAATCAATTTGGAGACAATCTTCAACTTACATAAAGAAATTGCTAAACCTATAAAAAAAATCTTAATCATCAGGACCGCATTTGACTATAATACCACCAATTGTCCATCAATTGGAAAACAATTACGGTGCCTGAAGACAAGAATAACACATCATTCATGATTTATGGGGTGCCATGAAGAGTTTGTTGCAAAACCACAAAAGAAATAATGAATATTAAGGAATACGTGAGGAAATGTGCAACTTAGAAGTTTTAAAAAGCAAAAGAAAAGAAATTAAAGGATACATGAAACTAAGAAAAGTGGGACATCCAATCAGGTAACAGTGGGGCACACATTAAGTACTTTACTCAATTTGTGATGTAGATCAAGACGGATCACACCAAGAGCAGATGCAAATCTGAACAGTTTGGATAGTTTATTACATTAACGAGCCGGTTAGATATGTGTTCAATTGATGAACTGTTGTGGATTGATGACTGTAGTATGCCACAATGTTACGTAAAGAGAGTTGTGTGCCCCGTGTCCACGAATGACGTGCATTTCAGCTAAGAATTCATTATTTAGGTGCATAAATTTTGGGTTAAGCACACTTGGATGAAATTTGGTAATGCATATTCTGAGTCATATGCTTGAGAATGGTTACGCAGATCTGGTGGGTCCAACACAGTGTGTGTAGGCCATATAGGACAAACTTGGAATCCTTTGTTTAATGTATTGTAAGAATTCATCATTTTTACACTAATTGCAGACACAGCTCACACATTGCTCTTCGACTGGGAAAAAAGAAAAAACTAAATCCACCTAGTCATGATTTGCTGATGTTTACACATTTTTCCAAACATTCTTAGCCTGCATGTAATGCTTGGACAACACCACACTCACTTAAAGCACGGTGAAATGATACAAACTCAACATTTCGCATGCAATTTAATCCTTCTTGGAAGTGAAGGATTCACATCAATGGGCATGCGAAAATGTAGACCACCCTTACAATTCTGACTAATCATGCTTTTTAGGGAGGAAATTGTCCCGACATCAATGTACAACTAACCATCGAAAGAATGTAAAAAAAAATGTATTAACATCAAGAATTCAGACCAAGGCCAAAAAAAAAATACTTCTGCTTCTGATTACATGGCATTTGAAAATAGGGTAGGTAGGTGGGGATTTTTTTTGGGGGGGGGGGCAATTTTTTTGTACAATCATATGGAGGCATCTGCGTGTAATCAAGGGTAAAAGGTAGAAATTGATGGTTTTGGGTGTTTTTCCCCCTCATTTTTCCCACAAAAAAATTAGGGTAAGGGAAATAAGAATAGGGTAGGAAGGGAAACCGGAAGCAGAACTTTTTTTTTTGGCCTGACATCCACCCTATTACAATTCATCTTTGCTCTTAGTGGATAAAATAAACTCATAAACGACTTCGGACTCGTAGTCCGTGTCATAAAGCCCGCCTAGGGGCTTGATGTTGGCTACGTAGGTCTTGCACAGGACCTTGATCTGCTCGTCTTCGATGTTGAAGTCAAACTGGACCGCAGCGTAGGGCTGGATGTATTTAGCCCGTTTTTCTTGGTTGGTGGTGCCCACGAAGGGGTAGTATTTGGATGGGATGCCGGCTGAAGGGTAGATGGTGTTGTTGGAATACATGTGCTTGTTTTTCTGTTGGAACAAAGAGATCGGAAAAGCAGATAAGCCCCAGTTCATATTCAGTACAATTGCTGAGGCCGAGATGAATATATGCAGAAATGCAATAGATCCATCAATTAACCCTAATCCCCTGGGCCCTTTTGGATAGGAACCATCCTCAATCCTGCAAAATCCTTCAATTGCCA